CACAATACCTACATTTAGAGTCAGTTATTCATTCAGCCTAATGAGAAGGAAACAAAGACAGCGCTGTTGTACGTGGGAAGACGAGCAGGTCAGAGCAGAGACAATAGAGCGATGGTGGGATTAAAGCAAAGGATAAGAAAGAACAAAGGATAAGCAGTAAACCCTCAGGAAACACTCAGGTTCAGACAGGCATCCCCGTCCACACCTTCCTACGCTGACTTCAACTCACGTCATCCCAAACTTGCTTACAGTTGAACAGTCACTGTCACCAAAACCTCATAACTATACACACACACATATATATATATATATATATATATATATTTTTTTTTGTTTACACTGGCTGTGTTTACATGCAAAGATTTTTCCAGATTAAGATCGAGGTGTTTTTATGCTCACTCTACAACAATCTGATCCAAAATGATGCGAATGCGTAGAGTACCGTTTAGTGTAGACGTTACCATGACAACCTCGTGACCTCGTGACAACGAGCATGACTTGAGTCCAGTCAGAGTGAGATGAGCAGCAGTGAGCAGTGCTTGTGTTTTTAATTACTTCAAAATGATGTCAGACTCAGGAAAACGTCCTTCACATGTCCTTATTAAAGGAGGCCGAGAGGAAGACGTCGTGTTCTGAGACACATAAGCTGGACGTCCGTCCCACCGCCGTCTTTTAAAGATCAGAGCATGAACTTCGTCTCCTCTGCAGACCAGTTTCTGCTCCGCCATGTTGAACGTTATAAACTTTCACTATGACGTGACAAACATGATCAGAACGGACTTAAACTTTCTGATAGGGAATGTAATCAGATACAGGCGTTTACACGGATATTATTCTTCTATTTAACTTATTATTTACAGGATTACCCACCTTGTTCAGTCGGAAAGAAACTGTATTTTGAATGGCCTCAATCGGACTAGGCTATTCCGAATGAGGTGTTTACATGGACGTATTCTGTTCCGATTGAGCTATCAGTCAGATTAGTAACGGATTATTAGGTTGCATGTAAAAGTGGCTACTATGTGGAAAGCTTTACAGTATAATGGACGAAAGGTGTGTCCTTGGCAGTGCTGTCCTACGAAGGGTGCTTACACAATGCAAAACAGAACAGTCAAGCAAAGCTGTTGTGGATTGTGGATATCGCCAATACTTAAAGCTACACTATGTACATTTTAGGGATTTGGAGACCTCTCTGGTGGAAACGTGTAACTGCATGCAAGATATGGAAGAACATTTTGTACCATGGGTTGTGCTTCGGCCCCCTTCCCCGAGCGGACGAAAGAGAATTCAAAGAGAAACGTGGTGATGGACGCGTCTTCCGAGGACGGGAGTGAATTATCTGCTACTGTCATCATATCTTTATCAGTTGATGTTGAGATCTAAACATCGACCCAAACCTTTTTTTGAGTGACGTTAACATATAAAGATGTACAACGTGGCATGAAACTCCCGACTCTGACTCACCAAATTTTAGCCTGTTTTGATTTCTCCTGACTCAGTAATGATACTTCTTTCAGTTTGAACAACAAAAAATCTTACATAGTGCAGCTTTAAAATGCCAGATTGGCCAAGAAAAAATAAATAATGTTGTTTATACTGTGAATTTGGCTAATATAAAGCACTCAGTCTGTGCCAGTGTGTTTTCGTTTAGCACACCATGTGAGCTTCAGGTTCAAGAAAGGCAAATAAAACCAGCAAAAAAATGAAAAAATAAAAAACAGATGTTGGCCAAGCTGGCTGTGAAGACAAATTAGTGACTGATGCATCTCTATTTGTTACTACAACTATACACAAGCCTAAGCACTCTTTCTACACACACACACACACACACACACACACACACACACACACACACACACCCTTCTCAGGTCCGGTTTTGCTGACTGCCCAGTTGTTACTCTGTTAAAGAGAGCCAGTGCTTCTTTGATTACAGCCTCCAGGTTCATGACCTCGCGTTCAACAAACCACATGCCATAATTATGGGCTTTACCGCACGCGTGTGTGTGTGTACGTACGTGTGTGTGTGTGTGTGTGTGTGTGTGTGTGTGTGTGTGTGTCTGCCTTCAAACAATCTAAAAATGGACAGAACATGAGAAACACAATCTAATTCACTACTCTAAGCATCAAGATCCCAAGCAGAGTCGGTACAAACTTAGTACATACTCATTTGTGCAGCTGCTTCATGGAGCTGCGGCTGAGTTAGCAAATTTCTTTGTTACATATTCACTAAAGCACAAAGCCGTTCTTTAAGAAAAATAACAGAGATCAGGCTAGTTTTACAACAGCCTCACACTTTGAATCAGAATAAAACAGTTCAGTAAACCTGCATACATTACGACACGAATTACTACATGCATTCCTAAATGCACTACTACACGCAATTCTACACGCATTCCTAAATGCACTACTACACGCAATTCTACACGCATTCCTAAATGCACTACTACACGCAATTCTACACGCATTCCTAAATGCACTACTACACGCAATTCTACACGCA